GACAGAGTCTCGCTCTTGTTGTCCAGGCTAGAGGTGAGTGCGCGTGGCGTGTAGCCCAGCTCACAGCAACTCAAACACTCCTGGGCTCCGAAGCGATCCTTCTGCCTCAGCCTCCGAGTACCTGGGACTACAGGCATGCGCACCATGCCGGCTAATTTTTCGTATTATCCATATATATCATTGCCCCATTTAATTTTTCCTTTCCTTATTTAAAGTACAGGAAGGTCCTTGCTCTTGGCAACCTTCGCTGGTTCTCAACAAAACCTTGAGCCAAGCCGCCCGTCTTCCGGCCCCCTCCCCCAAAGAGCCTAAGGGGAAAAAAAAAAAAAATTTTACAGGCGTGAAGCCACCCAACGCGGCCCGCCTTCAAAAAATTTTTTAAAAGTCCCCTGGTCCCTATAGCTTTCCCTTTTTCCTTAGAAAATTAATTATAGTCCATAAACAAATAAGAAGAAACAATATTTCCTTTTATCTTTTCTTTTTTTTTTTTTTTTGGAGACAAGGGGTCTCCTCCTCTGTTTGCCCCAGGCTTTATAATACAGTTGGGCATTCATCCATAGCTACTGCCAAAAACGTCAAACTCCCTGGGGCCTCCAAGGACCCTCCTAAACCTTGCCCCCTTCCCCCCCAAAGGCCGAGAATAACAAGGTTGTGAGCCACTGGGTGTTCCCCTGGGCCTCCTTTTAAATTTTTTTTGTTAAAACCTTTTAAATCTTCCCTAGGAAAAACCAAAACATTTTATTTGTTTTAAAAACTTGACTATCCTTCCACACACATGTGTTGAAGTTTGCAACTGTCTGGAAAAATTGGAAAAATCAAGTCCAAAGGCCAAAGCCCATTTTGGTTTCCCTCAGGGTTGTAGACAGTCCCCACTAAGACGGGACAGCAGAGGGTAAAACAATGAAAACTAAAGTAAAACAAAAAGGACATCCCAGAGAAGCAGGGCCCAAGCTAAGCCCCCTTTTTCTATGGCCTTATTGGTGGGGAGTTCCAGTAGCAGAATAAGGTTTAACGTTTGGTTTGGCAAAGTGGGGAAAGATTTCTTTTAAAGAATGGGCATTTTAACTTTTCAAAGTCCCTACTCTACACAAAACAAAAGCAAGAAAACAAGGAGGCCTTTAAGAAGCTCAAGAAACAAAAATTCAAGGTTCCATGAATTAAAAAATTTTAAAAATAAAAAATTCCCACTCCCTCTTTCCAAGGGACCTTTTTTTTACTTGCTTCTCAAATACTCTACTGTTAAACCCACCCAAGAAACGGAAAAAAAAAAAAAAAACTATATCTAGATTTTCAAGGGTACTTTTCTTATCCCCCTCCCCCCATAACATACCCATATTTATACATTTACCTGAAATTCATCCATGATACTGAAGGTATACTCATGCCTGGCTATTACATGATGACAATTCTTACACAGATCTGCTGAAACAAAGTGAGACTTTCGTAATTAAGTCTTGGAAAGTTTCTTCAAACAGTAAAATTTCTATTTTCAGCATGATATTCCCTAAAAAGATCTTAACTTTGTCATATTTAACATAGCAGGAAACCCATTATAATATTTACCTTGATAAAAAAAAAAATCCTATAAATAGAAAGAAACTAATTGGCCAACTAATATATATAGAAAAAATTAGCCGGGCATGGTGGTGCATGCCTGTAGTCCCAGCTACTTGGGAGGCTGAGGCAGAAGGATCGCTTGGGCCCAGGAGTTTGAGGTTGCTGTGAGCTAGGCTGACGCCACGGCACTCACTCTAGCCTGGGCAACAAAGCGAGACTCTGTCTCAAAAAAAAAAAAAAAAAAAAAAATCCTGTATCTGTTATATAGCTGCAGTCCCCAAACCCCCATCTGTGGACCAGTTTGTGATCTGTGAGCAACCGGGCTGCACAGCAGGAGGTGAGCAGCAGGCATGAGCAAGCAAAGCTTCATCTGTATTTACAGCCGATCCCCATCGCTTGCATCACAGCCTGAGCTCTGCCTCCTGAGCTCTGCCTCCTGTCAGATCAGCAGTGCCATAAACTACACATGCAAAAATCTAGGGTGAGTGCTCCTTATGAGAATCTAATGCCTGATGATCTGAGGTGGAGCTGAGGAAGTGATGCTAACACTGGGGAGCAGCTGCAAATACAGATTATCATTAGCAGAGAGGTCTGTACAATTATTTTATTATATATTACGATGTATTAATAACAGAAATAAAGTGCATAATAAATGTAATGCACATGAATCATCCTGAAACCATCCCCCTTCCCCGCTGTCCATGGAAAAATTTCTTCCATGAAAATGGTCCCTGGTGCCAAAAAGGTTGGGGACTGCTATTATATAGCAATACTAAATAATTAAGGGTCTAAACTCTGAGATTGAATGTGTATATATTAATTCCCAATGAAAGCTTTCTAAGGTAATCAATTAACAAATACATAATACATAAGTGTGTTTCTTAAACACACTAGCTAGACCCATTTAACTATGTAAAAGCTTTTATTCTCAGGAATGATAGAAACTGTGCTACTATAAACAACCACTGTCTCAAAAACAATGAGGTAGATACTATCACTACCACCTTTTTAGGGATAAGGAAACAGAGGTACACTGTGGTTAAGTAACCAGGAAGACTACCAAGTTAAGAAGTGATGGAACCCGAATTCAAACCCAAGTAGTCTGGCTCTAGTCCCTTGCTCTTAACAACTATGCCCCATTGCCTAGAACAAAATACAGTTTAAAGGAAGCATAGGCTAAAAAGAAGAAAAAGATTCTTCTAATTTAAAGCATTTTCAGGCCGGACGTGGTGGCTCACACCTGTAATCCTACCACTCTAGGAGACTAGGATCATTTGAGCTCAGGAGTTCGAGACCAGACTGAGCAAGAGCGAGACCTCATCTCTATTTAAAAAAAGAAATTAGCTGGACAACTAAAAATATATATCTAAAAAATTAGCCGGACATTGTGGCACGTGCCTGTAGTCCCAGCTACTTGGGAGGCTGAGGCAGTAGGATTGCTTGAGCCCAGGAGTTTGAGGTTGCTGTGAGCTAGGCTGACGCAAGGGCACTCTAGCCAGGGCAACAGTGTGAGACTATGTCTCAAAAAAAAAAAAAAAAAAAAAAAAACCCACACATTTTCAATTGTCTGACTCTATTCTAAAGGCTTTGTGTCTTTCATACCCTTCTTTCAAAATATCATTATCTGCACATTTATTTCTCATTTATTCAGAACATACCCAAGAACCAGGAGGCAAGAAAAAAAGGATATGAATAGTTTAAATATTTGTCACAATAGGTGGACACTGAAGAGTATATATACTTAATTTACTCATAGAAATTCTTAGTGCCAACTTCAGAACTGATTTATTTTTATTAACACAGTTTATCTATTTGGTGTTCCCATATTGAGGACAAGGAGCACCATATGAAGGTAGCTTATAGAAGCAAAACTAAGAAGCAACAGACTGACAGCGAGAGAGACCAAAAAAAAGCTATAAAAATAGAAACAAAACTGACAAAAACATAGCATCCCAAGGTCATTTAGTATAGGGGCAAAAAGCCCTAAACACATTAATAGCTGTGGGAGGACATCACTGTATTAAAATATAGTACAAAGTGAAAACTCACATGGACAACCCTAAGGTAATAATAATAAAAAATAAAAATTTCTATATCTTGTTCAAAGTAGCCTAAAGGCTTTAAAAATATGTCCCTGAAAAACAATTTAATAAAAAAAAAATCAGTGCCTGAAGCACACAAGCTTTAGTTATCTGCAAAATACATTTATGTAGAATATCTGGTGATGCTAGATAAATGAGGTATTAATTATACCTTCCTCTTTAAAACCTAACTGGTAACTATTTGTTGCAATACAACATTAAAATAGACCTCAGTTAACAGTCAGCCTATTACTGTAAAAAAAAATAAAAATAAAAAAAAAATAAAATAGACCTCAGAATATTTTACACAACATATCAACTTCCAAAAGCTGATACCTGCTAACAGACTCGTGTTAAAAAAAAAAAAAAAAAGTCTACTTACGATCATAGGTTACTATTTCTTCTCCATCTTCTTCTTTTGAGGATTTGTTTGTGATCAGCATAAAATCCCGCTTACTGCACACTGCACAGCCTGTAAAGTTCAGCAAGAAAGATCCATTCTCTAGGCAGGTGTTGCCCTAAAATATTAGAATTAGGAATTTAATTTCTTTATATTCCAAAATCTTTAGTGAAAATGATTCATAGACTCTAAAGGCAAAAAAAAAAAAAAGGCCAGAACGTATGTGCTATAATAGAAGACTATACCAAATAATTTTTGAAATTACTAGCTTTCCTAAAGAACTGTTATTCACGTTAAATAAAATTAAAGCACAGTATTAGATCCTTAAGTCTCTGAGGGCTGCAACTATGTTTAACAGGGAGGACTAAATGCAAAAACATATTTAGGAACAACTTAAGGAAATCTTAAGAATATAAAATATGAAAATGAAAAATTTAGTAGCCAATAATATTAAATGAGGTATATCAAAACTAGAATTAAAATTCAATCAAAATTGAAACATTGAGCCCATGGTAAAGAAGATCTCATACACTGTGATGTTCAGTTGATTGTTGAAATAGCTTTCTGTCAAGCTTTGATCATACCACAAAATAAACAACAAAAAAAATAAATTTAGCTCTACAGATGTTAGTCCTTAAGGATATGTGTGATTCAGGTAGAGAAGGTTAACTTTTTCAATAAATCAGATTGATACAATGGTATTCAAGAAAGAAAGGGTTTGCACATCACTAAGAAACTGTAGATAACTTATGCTCCTGCATCAAGGGAAGTCTTTGCTAAAGGCTTCTAATAATTGCTAAGAATTAAAAGTCATTTTACAAATAATCTAGCCCAACCCCATTTCTGAGCAACAAACTTAAAGTGTATTTTAAAATAGTTAATCAATGTGACTAAAAATAATTCAAATCAACATTTCTCCAACATCTATGTGTCTGATACTGTGCAAAGCACAGTGGATGATTCAAGGATGAGCCAAATATGTTTCTACCTTCAGGGAGTTTAAGAAGTATCAGGAGAATTAAGAATCACTTTAAATGATACCACAGTGAAATCTTTCTGGATTCCCAGCACCATAATTAATCTCTCCCTTCTGAGTGGCTTCTTAGTTCTACGTATTAAAGACAGTAACTCTGGTGACAGAAATCAAGATTTTACTATACAGAGTTATATATTAAATCACAGGCACATTGATTTAACTACAAAAGGGAAAAAAGCCTTGGAATTAAAGTATACATTTCCAGCTATTAAGAACAAATGCTTTAATTTTAAAATAAAATAAAATTTACTGAGATATAATTTACATATAATAAAATTCACACATTGTAAGGGTACAAGAGAATGACTTAACCAAGGTTTATACCCATGAAACCACTACGCCAATCGAGGTACACAAAAATTCTCTCTCTCCAGGAAGTTCTTTCATGCTTTGTAGTCTATCTCTAATCTCCATCCCATTCCAGACACCCACTGATCTGATTTCTTTCTCTATACATTAGTCTTGAATGGTTTATATAAACAGAATCAGTGTACTCTTTTGCATTCCAGCTTCTTTTGCTCAACATAAGGTCCATGTTGATCACCTGTTTTTCTATGTACTGGTAGTTCGTTGTTTTTTATTGCCAACTAATGTTCCCCGTAGGATTCACCTGTTGACGAACATTTGGGTTGATCCAGTTTGGGGCTATTATGAATAAAGAAGCAATGAAGATTCATGTACAAGTCTTGTGTGGGCATAAGTCTTCCTTTATCTTGGGTAAACAGAAGTACAATTGCTGAGTAATATGGTAAAAATATGGTATAATTAACTTTATAAGAAAACTGCCAAATGGTTTTCCAAAGCTTTCTATTTTATATTCTTGCCAGCAATATGTGAGTTCCAATTGCTCCACATTCTCACTGATACTAGCTATTGCCTTTTTTAATTTTAGTCACTATAATGATGTTTTATCTCATTATAGTAAGTGGTATCTCACTGCAATTTTAATTTTTCATTTCCCTAATGACTAATGACATTGAGCATCTTCTCAAGGTGCCTATTCATTTATTTTCTTTTGCAAAACGTCTATTCAAGTCTTTTAAAAGTCTTTTTTTTGAAAGTTAGGTTGTTTATTTTTTTATTGAGTTATAAGAGTTCTTTAGATATCTTGGATACAAGTCCTTTGCCAAATATATGTATTATAAATATTTTCTCCTTGTCATTGGTTTGCCTTTTTTTTAATGGTGTCTTTTTTTTTTTTTTTTTTGAGACAGAGTTTCACTCTGTTGCCTGGGCCAGTGTGCTGTGGCATCAGCCTAGCTCACAGTAACCTCAAACTCCTGGACTCAAGCAATCCTCCTGCCTCAGCCTCCCAAGCAGCTGGGATTACAGACATGTGCCACCATGCCTGGCTAATTTTTTCTTTATATTTTAGTTGGCCAATTAATTTCTTTCTGTTTAGTAGAGATGGGATCTCCCTCTTGCTCAAGCTGGTTTCGAACACCTGAGCTCAAACGATCCGTCCACCTTGGCCTCCCAGAGTGCTAGGATTACAGGTGTGAGCCACTGCACCCAGCCTCAACATTTTTTCATTTATGATTTATGCATTTTTTTCTCCTAAGATATTTCTGCCTACTCCAAGGTTGCAAAACTCTTATGTTTTTTCTAGAAATTTTATAATTTTATCTTGTAGGTTTAATTTTATGATCCACTCTGAAAAAAGTTTTACATATGATATAAAGTAAGGATCAAGGTTTATTTCGTTCCATATGGCTATCTAGTTGTTCTGGGAACACTGGTTGAAAAGACTGTCTTTTCCTCATTTAATTATAATAGTGTCTTTGTGGAAAAATCAATGACCATATACATGCGGGTCTGCTTTGACTATTCTGTTCCCTTATGTAAACGTATTTGTACTAATATTATACTCTCTTGATTACTGCAGCTTTATAGTAACTCTTTAAATCAGGTAGTTTATATCCTATAACCTGGCTATTCTTAAGTTCTTTTCAATCAGCTTATAAACTTTTACAAAAAAGTCTGCTGAGGTTTGAAGTGGTACTGCCTTGAACCTAAAAAGCTGATTGCCAAAGACTCCAAGAAATTAAGGAAAGCAAAACAGTCTTAAAAGAAAAAAGATTCAAATGCCAATTTCAAATAAATAGCACTCTCAACTGGACTGTACCCATAAACACAGGTGCCTTGCACAGTGTGGCCTAACCTAAGGAAACACTGATAGAAGAGAAAAGAAAGACCTGTTATCTGGTCATGTGGTAAGTAAATAAATACCTGAAATGGCAAAATGCAAGTACAGCACATAAGAAACTGACAGGATTTTCTCTAAGAGCCCTGGTCATTTGAAAGCAGCGAGGGTAACCTTCATCAGTGAGGCATTGCTCTTTTATTAGATGAGGCAAGACTATTAACAACCAGATTTGGGAAGGTAAACTAATGTACACAATATTCAGGGAAGCTTTTGAGGCTCCCATAATAAGAGGAAAAAGAAGAATATAATCCAAATCAACTCCACAATAATTATAGTAAACCATAACAGTTTCAAGAAAGGAAAAAAAGTTAAGTGCCCATAGAAAATGTGATTCCAATAAATCCTGGTGGATTATTTGTAAAGGTATGAAGTATGCAAGAAGAAATGGCTAAAAACTATGATGATATATATGACAGTATATTATAAAATCTACTGAGAAATCTGTAATTGTTTTTTTTTTTTTGAGACAGAGTCTCACTCTGTTGCCCAGGCTAGAGTGAGTGCCGTGGAGTCAGCCTAGTTCACAGCAACCTCAAACTCCTGGGCTCAAGCGATCCTCCTGCCTCAGCCTCCCGAGTAGCTGGGATTACAGGCATGTGCCACCGTGCCCGGCTAATTTTTTTTTTTATAAATATATTAGTTGGCCAATTAATTTCTTTCTATTTTTATAGTAGAGACAGGGTCTCGCTCAGGCTGGTTTTGAACTCCTGACCTTGAGCAATCCACCTGCCTCAGCCTCCCAGAGTGCTAGTATTACAGGCGTGAGCCACCGCGCCCGGCTTGTAATTGTTTTGACAAGGATTGGACTAATTTGCTTTACCTAGAAAACTATTATTTCAGATGGTACAAGTTAACAGTTAATGTACATATGAGTATAATGTATATGTTTAACCAGGTAATGTTTAAAATTAAAAATGGAGAATATGGTTTTTAACGAACCAACTTTTGGTTTCATTGATTTTCTCTATTGTTTTTATATTCTCTGTCATTAATTTCTACTATAATTATTAGTATTTCCTTCCTTCTGCTTGCTTTGGGTTTAGTTTGCTTGTTTTTCTACTGTTTTAAGCACAAGGTTAGGTTATTAATTCAAGATTTTTTATTTATTTTTATTTTTTTGAGACAGAATCTCACTCTGTGGCCCTGAGTAGAATGCAGTGTGTCATCACTGCAAGCTCAAACTCCTGGGCTCAAGTTCCTCTTGCCTCAGCCTCCCAAGTCGCTGGGACTGCAGGCATGTACCACCATGCCCAGCTAATTTTCTCTCTATATGTATCTTTTAGCTGTCCAGCTAATTTCTATTTTTTTTTTTTAGTAGGGACGGGGTCTTGCTCTTGCTCAGGTTCAGGTTGGTCTGGAACTCCTAACCTTGAGCGATCCACCTGCCTCGGCATCCCAGAGTGCTAGGATTATAGGTGTGAGCCACTGCGCCTGGCCCCATTAATTATTTTAAAATCTGCCTTCTGAAAATTCCAAAGAAAAGTTTAATTCTTCCTCATGACAGAAAAGTATCTCTGAAAGACACTTTCCTGGTTTTTCAATCACCTCAATCCTTTACTCTTCTTTCTTATACTTTTATTTATTTCCTATGTTACTTTAGTCTTTGAAGCTCAATCTTTAATTCTTTATCTTCTTTTCCTCAGAGAACAAATCCTGTTTTGACACCTTTATTTGGTAGACTCATCTATCTATGCAGGTATACCCAAACTGCAATCGTATATCTTCACTTGACTCCTCAGATAATACACTTTCAACATCAAATGAAGCATGATAAAAACAATTTGACCATCCCCCCCCCATTCCTTTTTGGTTTTTCTCCCATATGCCTCCAATTTCTGTAATGATAGTTCCAATTTTCCAGTTGCCTAGATTGAAAACCTTGAGATCATGTATAGCTCATCCCTTTTTCCCTCCTACATTAAATTGACTGAGTCCTGTTAATTCTTTTTTTGAAAAAAGATCTTCATTATCTTATGCCTACAATGCTGTTGCCATGGCTCTGCCAAATGCCGTGGGATTATCCTTTTACACTCCTCCCACCCCATCATTCCAACATACAGCCATTAAGATTCATTTTCCTAAATAACAGATTTCAGAAACATTTCCCTATTAAAAATTATTTTGGGCCGGGCACTGTGGCTCACGCCTGTAATCCTAGCTCTTGGGAGGCCGAGGCGGGCGGATTGCTCAAGGTCAGGAGTTCAAAACCAGCCTGAGCGAGACCCCGTCTCTACTATAAATAGAAAGAAATTAATTGGCCAACTGATATATATATATAAAAAATTAGCCGGGCATGGTGGCGCATGCCTGTAGTCCCAGCTACCCGGGAGGCTGAGGCAGAAGGATCACTCGAGCCCAGGAGTTTGAGGTTGCTGTGAGCTAGGCTGACGCCACGGCACTCACTCTAGCCCGGGCAACAAAGTGAGACTCTGTCTCAAAAAAAAAAAAAAAAAATTATTTTGATGGTTACCCAATGCCTAAAATGTAAAATCTAAACTTCTCAATATGACTTTTAAGTCTTTCAGTTAGGTCTACTCTTAAGAATCCAACCTAATCTTTGTAATATTCTCTACTGCAAACTTCTCCCTCATGGTCCCTGTAATGTGCAATGTTACTGGTTTCATAAAAATCTTTTTAAACTTTAAAAATGTGTGAAATAGAACACAATAAACTACATGAACATAAATGTACAGCATAATGAAGAATTAAGTGAACACCCAAATCAAGAAATAAAATACTGCTTGTACCCAGGTAGACTTCTCTTCATATGACCCATCTAGATGATAACTTTATACCCTAGCAGTGATCATTATCCCCACTTTACGGTAATAGAATGTTTTTCTTGATAGTTTTCCCACCAGGTACATCCTTAAATAATATAATTTAGTTTGCCTGTTTTTGAATTATACTTTATGTGTTTGCTCATCAACAATGTATTTCTAAGACTTCTTCAGGTTGCTGCATGTAATTCTGGTTTATTTTCATTACTCTAGTTCAGGGTTTCTCAACCTTGGTGCTATTGACATTGGGATGAATAATACTTTGTTGTGGTGGCTGTCCTGTGTATTGTAGGACGTTTAGCAGCATCCTTGGCTCCACCCATTAAATGTTAGTAGTGCCCCCTCCCCTTTATGACAACCAAAAATGTCTCCAGACATTGCCAAATGTCCCCTGGGAGGCAAAATCAGTCCTGGTGAGAACACTGCTCTCATTCCTTCCATTACTCTTCCATTTATGGTGTGTCACTCTATATCGGTTACTTTTCCAGTCTACTACTACAAAAATAATGCTGTTATGAACATTCTTATACAGGTCTCCAAGAGCATATGCACATGCATTTTGCTAGAATGGGAACTGCTGGGTCATTTCAGTGTGCATATCTTTAACTTGACTTGATAATGCTAAACTTTTTTTCCAAAGTGGTTGTACCATATGAGAATTCACACTATTATATGTCCTTCTCAAAAGACTAAGTATTACTCATAAAATATTGAAACATAAGCGACTATAGAGATTTTCTACCTACCAATCAATGCACGAATTCTGTTCTTGTTATTTCCCCTCAGCCTCCAGCTCCTCCTTTCCTTCTTTTCTACCCTAATCACAACTATTCTTCAAGCTCCAACTGACGTCCACCTTTTGGAGGGAGAACAAAATTATCCCCATTGCTCTCCCCTTTCTCTAAACCCGAATAGCATTATGGACTGTGCGAGTCATTTTTTGTTAATCACATAAGCCCCCAAACTGTAAACTCTTAGGCAGCACAAAAGCTTCTTATTTCTTCTTTGAAATAAAGAATCCCTTTCTGGCCTAGCAAAGTAATCTAGCTATATACACATAAATATTCAACAAGTACACCTTGAATGAATGAGAACAAACAAGTTTCATAATCTCCTGAGTCTGAGAGGAATAGAGATTTGAAAGTAACAGCCAGGAAACCTGAATTCTAGTCCTGGCTCTCATTCACACTAACTAGAATGTGAACTTGAGCAAGTGATTTCCCCTCTCTAGACATCTGTCTTCATCTGCCAAAATGGGTTAGAACAGACGACCTCAGAGGTCCCTTCCAGCGATAGAATTCGGTAAGAAAATTCAACTTCAAATCGAGCTTGAGGGTGAGACCGGCAGTACGGGTGGGGGAGCCCCTCGGGTGTCGACCGGGGTGGTAGTGGTGGTGGGGTTTCCTCTGTTGTCCCCTGGAGCCCAGGAGAATGAGCATGATGGCTGATGTCAGCCGCCAGGGCGGGGACGAGTGAGCACGGACGGCCACAGGCCATCCCTGGTGACAAGTGCCTAAATACAGATACCGGGTCACTAGAAAGGGTAGTGCGGCCGAGTCCGCCCAGCGCACGGGCGCTCGGGTAAGGCTGGCCAGGGGTATGAGAAGCCTCAAGGGCTGGCGTGGGCTAAAAGAGCGGGAGGCTGTCGGCGACCACTCGCTCACCCGGTTGGGATATTCCTTCTCCACACAGTCACCACACATCGCGACGCTGTTAACAGGGAACGATGTTCACCGCTTCCGGGAAGACGAAATCTCGCGAGAGCTAAGAGAAAGTTGCCGCATGCGCCCCAAGTATTCAACGCTGGGTATTTGGTCTTTGGAACCTAGTCGAAGTCTCCGCCCCTTAGCAACTGTTGTTAGGGCATGGCACAGTCTCCGCGGCAACATCCGTAGGCGAAGAGTATGGAAACTTTCCGAGAAAGAGGAAGGAACGGTAGACTGGCAGATGAGGCCGGAAGGGAAAGTGGATCTTGGACTGAGCAAAGGTCTCACAGGCGCCTTCCTGAGCTTAGGCTGACAGAAAGGCTTACTCCATAAAGAAAACTGAAAAGTCCACACTTTAAATACTGTTCTGCGCTCTGGGAGGCTTGAGAGAGGAGGATTGCTTGAGCTCAGGAGTTCGAGACCAGCCTGAGCAAGAGCGAGACCGTCTCTACTATACATAGAAAGAAATTAGCCAAACAACTAAAAATAGAAAAAAATTAGCCGAGCACGGTGGCACGTGCCTGTAGTCCCAGCTACTCGGGAGGCTGAGGCAGGAGGATCGCTTGGGCCCAGGAGTTTGAGGTTGCTGTGAGCTAGGCTGACGCCACGACACTCACTTTAGCCTGGGCAACAAAGTGAGACTCTGTCTCTAAATACATACATACCATTCTGTACCAATTCTTAGGGCAATGAGAGTCATCAGAGATCAGATCACGGCAGGTGAACAAACAATAACTGAAGTTTTTGGGAAGAGGCGCTTAGTGCTCTGCAGAGAATCTCCTAAAAAGAACGCGTACCAGAGTCCTCTGGAGGACACAGCGATGGGGAACGTGCTTCCATCTCTCTACGTGTCACAGAAGTACCTCAGTGGCCAGCAAGCACTATGTAAATAGAAAATGGCCCGGTCGATTAACCCTGCATCATTTCCCAATCTCAGTCTGGAAATGTTTGTGATTGGCTTCACGCCTCTTCCTTTCTCTATGTATGGAAAGTATCTTATTATTCGCAATGATATAATTAACCTGAATACAAATCTCCAAAGACTGTTTCTGTGCTTCTGAATAACGTGTCTCCATCTCACCTACTGCTCGATGGGAAGAACATCAGCACCCTCCCTCAGCCTTGCTTTACTGCCTTCAGATCAGTGGAGACTGTGGAGCACAGGAGACTCTGGGATCCAGCTTCTTTAAAGAAGGGGTTAATAACCATTTCAAAGCAAGCCAGTTTAATTGGGTTTGCTAATATGGGAATTATATCTCCGCTGAAGCGCTGAAATTGTAACCTTTAGTATTTCAACCTCTGGTTAGTATCTGCAATGGTTACTCAAAATCACGGGTGTGCTAAAAAAAACACTGCAAGAACTAGAGCCATCAGAGCTTACCTTGTTCTTAGAATAATTATAAAGCCCCTCATTGTATGATATTTTCAACCTTTCAAAAGTGTTCTCATTTCAGTTCCTAATTTTATGCTTTTACAACCTCATAAGCATGGCAAGAAATGTATGTCTCTCCTTTTCAGCTGAGGAAACCTAAGAAATAATGGGTTAAAGATCTTGTCTATGGGCCGGGCGCTGTGGCTCACGCCTGTAATCCTAGCTCTTGGGAGGCCGAGGCGGGCGGATTGCTCAAGGTCAGGAGTTCGAAACCAGCCTGAGCAAGAGCGAGACCCCGTCTCTACTATAAATAGAAAGAAATTAATTGGCCAACTGATATATATATAAAAAATTAGCCGGGCATAGTGGCGCATGCCTGTAGTCCCAGCTACTCGGGAGGCTGAGGCAGAAGGATCACTGGAGCCCAGGAGTTTGAGGTTGCTGTGAGCTAGGCTGACGCCACGGCACTCACTCTAGCCTGGACAACAAAGCGTCTATGGTAGCAAAACTATTCAGTAGTCAGCCAGGACTATTGTTCCTACTGTTCCTGTCCTAGGCTCAACTTCTTTCTAATATAATAACCACTAGCCACATGTGACTATAACGCACTTTATTTTATTTATTTATTTATTTTGAGACAGAGTCTCGCTTTGTTGCCCAGGCTAGAGTGAGTGCCATGGTGTCAGCCTAGCTCATAGCAACCTCAAACTCCTGGGCTCAAGCAATCCTGCTGCCTCAGCCTCCCTAGTAGCTGGGACTACAGGCATGCACCACCATGCCCGGCTAATTTTTTCTATATATATTAGTTGGCCAATTAATTTCTTTCTTTTTATAGTAGAGACGAGGGTCTCACTCTTGCTCAGGTTGGTTTTGAACTCCTGAGCTCAAACGATCCGCCTGCCTCGGCCTCCCAGAGAGCTAGGATTATAGGCGTGAGCCACCACACCCACCCTATAAAGCACTTTAAACGTGGCAAGTATACTGAGATGTGCTGCAAGTACATCCTGCACTGTAGAGTTGAAGACTTAGTATGAAAAAAAGAATGTAAAATATCTCATTAATAATTTTATGTGATTACATGTTAAAGTAACCTTTTGATGTATTGGATTAAATAAAAATATATTTGTTAAAATTAATTTCACCCGTTTCTTTTTTTAGTGTGGCAGCTAGAAAATTTAAAATTACACGCATAGCTCTCATTTTTATTAGACAGATCTACACTTGATTCATTGTTAAATGCTTTCTCTGTTTTTAAAGGCTAATGCTGACTTTTAATTTAATTAAGCTTTATATCTATTTTAGTCCATTCTGTAGATATTTGTTGAGTGCCTTAGTGTGCAAGGAACTGTATGGACAACAGGAAGATAAAAGGTCATTGTCCTGGCCGGGCGTGGTGGCTCACGCCTGTAATCCTAGCACTTTGGGAGGCCGAGGCGGGTGGATTGCTCAAGGTCAGGAGTTCGAAACCAGCCTGAGCGAGACCCCGTCTCTACCAAAAATAGAAATAAATTAATTGACCAACTAAAAATATATATGTAAAAAATTAGCCGGGCATGGTGGCGCATGCCTGTAGTCCCAGCTACTCGGGAGGCTGAGGCAGTAGGATCACTGAGCCCCGGAGATTGAGGTTGGTGTGAGCCAGGCTGATGCCACGGCACTCACTCTAGCCTGGGCTTTCCTGCTCTCCAGATACTCACAATTTAGTCTGAGAGACAAAGTCAGCATTGATACCCATAATTACTGGCAGGTTGCAGAATAGGAGCACAAAATGAAAAGACTACTCCCAGGTGGAGGTTTGGGGAAAAGGAATTTGGTCCTTGAAGAATGTACAGGATTTCAAAAAGCAGAAACAAAACAAAATATTAGCCAGGCGTGGTGGCATGTGCCTGTAGTCCCAGATCCTTGGGGAGGTTAAAGTGGGAGCCCAGGAATTGGGGACTGCAGTGAGCTGTGATGCACTCTTGCTCACTGCACTCTATCTCAGGCAACAGAGCAAGACCCTATCCCTAAAAACATAATAAATTACCAAAAGAAAAAAAAGCAGAGATTTTTAGTTTAGAAATTTCAGGTAGACCATGCCAAGGAGTTTGAATTTTAGGGGATAGAGGGCCATTGAAGGTTTGAGCAGGAGAGTGATGCCAGAGTTGTGGTTTGAGAAGATTATTTTAGCAGCATTTTTTTTTTTTTTTGAGACAGAGTCTCGCTTTGTTGCCTAGGCTAGAGTGAGTGCCTTGGCGTCAGCCTAGCTCACAGCAACCTCAAACTCCTGGGCTCAAGCAATCCTTCTGCCTCAGCCTCCCGAGTAGCTGGGACTACAGGCATGCGCCACCATGCCCGGCTGATTTTTTCTATATATATTAGTTGGCCAATTAATTTCTTTCTATTTATAGTAGAGACGGGGTCTCGCTCTTGCTCAGGCAGGTTTTGAACTCCTGACCTCGAGCAATCTGCCCGCCTCAGCCTCCTAGAGTGCTAGGATTACAGGCATGAGCCACCACGTCTGGCTTTTAGCAGCATTTTATTGGGGCTTACTGGAACTGGAAGAAATTGGAAATAAGAAAGGCAGACACTAGCAGGAACCACAAGGGGGAGATGTATAGCTTTGTGCCTCATCACTGACAGAGAACATACTTGACAAAAATAAAATTAAATAAATTAAAAATTACATTGCAGTCGCAGATCTCAAAGAGCATGTCCTTTGGCACAAACTGATTTTATGTACTGAGGCATGAAAGACAATCTACATATTTATGAGTGTCTTTTTATTTCCCAGAGTGATATCATATTTTGTTATTTAAATGACCAAGTGAAAAAAAATGAGCAAGTGAAAAAAAAGGTCATTTTATTCATAGGCACAAAAGTTCAAGAGCTAGTGCCATCCATCCAATGAAGTCTTCCATTTAAATCTAGCCACGTTCAGGGAAGAGAGGCAGCAAAGGAGACTGGAGGTAGGAGTTGGACAGGACCAGAAATTAGATTGTGATTGCGGTAATAGGAATATAAATGTCACTGAGGTTGACAGATGGAAGAAGGAAAATAGAAGTTACAAAGCAGAAAGAGATTAGCACCTGAAAGGAATGAACAAATAGTGGTGTAAAATAAGCAAAACAGTAAAAAATAATCTATTTTCTCTTTTAAGTAATTATGTAAAATAAAGTTTATAAGAAATATTTTAGTATTTAATATTATCTTCTAATAGAATTTTCTCCGGGACAATACCCTGGCCACATGAGTCTTTAATAAACATGTGATATCAGTGGTGTATATCAAATACACCTATGCCTATGTAGTGTATGCATGAGATTATCTCTTGGTGAAAGGAAATTGATTTAGGAAAATCTAAATGTTAAAATGATTCTAATTGCTGGCTCAATTACATGTGCTAAACTACATGCCTGGGGCAAGATTAACGTTTTCCCTAAAGAATGCTTTGAATTTCCTTTTAACAGTTTGTATTACCTTTTTTGTTTGCCTGTTTTGATGCTCAAAGCCAAGAGGCTGAAGGATGCAATGCTGATCATCTATCCTCTTTATCCTTTTTTATAAAAAGTGCAAGGAAGTGCCCTGAGCCTTTGTGGTAACAGTGTTAGACCAATCCCACAGATGGAAGAAAGGAAGCTCATCTCCAAGTAGAAGCTCTGTCTGCCTGGTGAAGGTGTATGTCATTCTTTCCACTGTCTCAAGGAAAGTGTGAAATAAGAGTCTGTGGTTGTCTTTACCTAGTTCACCTGCCTGGGATGAATGAATTAGCCACA